TGTTTGACATAGGACAACTTAAACTTTCTGTGTCTCAGTTTTCTAATCTGTAAAATAATAACCTATCTCATAATGTTAATGTGAAGATCAAAGGAGTTAATATATGTAATGGGCTTAAAGCAGTGCCTTGCATAGATTAAATGCAACAATCGTATTAATTGTTGCATTGTTATGTATATGTCAGTACAAAATTGAATACTGACATAAGTGCATGGGAGTGAATTACTTGGAAATGCTTCAAGCAATATAGTTCTCTGTTTACCTAACAAATCATATTTAACTATGAGCTGTTAGTGGAACTGTGTTGATTTAGCAGTTATGTGTGAACATCTTTCAGAAGCTTTCTTCTTTTGATATTTGAGTAAAGAAACTACTCTCATTAATGCTGACTTATTCAGGTAACTTTTATAGAGTATTGGTCTTGATCATCATGTTTATATCTTATATGAAAGGTTTTCGAAACCCTGACTAACATTAGAAGCAAATGGGTCCGCCAGTTGTATTGGAAAGTTTGGGGGTGGCACTCAGGCATTGGTATTTTTTAAAAGCTCCCCAGGGGATTTTAATTGTAGGCAGAGTTGAAAATCACTGGCCTAGAGCAATAGTAATTAATTATATATCCATATCATTTAGTTTCTGACACTGAAGTATATTTTTTTCATACTTAAATAAATAAAATGACATGGCTATTTATGGATGTTTCTTTAAAGGCAGACCTATTGTTTCCATTAATTCTGTAGCTTGTGGTTTTGTGTTATAAAGCAGAAATGAGAAGTTTATTTTAAAATTATCTGTGGAGTTTGTTTGTTTTTGGCATGATGAAGGCTGTATATATTTTAAAAATATATAGGATCACAGAATAGTAAAGGTGAGAGGGACCCTCAAAGCATCTAGTAAAAATATTGCACACTTTGAAGCCAGTCCTGGCTTGCAGTGACTGATTCACTTACGAGCTATATGATCTTGGGCTACTTACTTAATCAGTCTGAGCCACAACTTCATCTCTGTAGAATTGAGATGTATGTGTACTTTGTACGATGACAACTGCATTTCATGTGATACACACACACACACGCACATCTTGACTCCCTGACTCCTGCCTGATCCCCATACCATCTGGTGCAGATATCTAGAGCAGAGACTGTGTGGGAGCCTCTGCAGGGCTGTCTGAGCTTGAAGGGCCAGTTGCTGAGAACTGCTTCCTCCCACTACTCAGGGATCATTTCTCTGGCTCTTTTTGGATTATTTCATGGCTGGCTGTTTGGATCCCATGACTTTTCATGAGCATAACATTTAGTCTGTGGGGGTCAGTCACTGCTAAGTAGAGTGAAGCTGTTAATGAGACTAGAGATGAAGATGGCTTCTTGTTGCCACATGATGGAAGCTTTGGGTACTTCCTCTTTGAGCCTTAGACAATACATGTGCAGGACACAGATGGCTGCTTTCTCTTTCCAGCTGTCTTCCTGTCCATTGCTTCTTTGTGTTGAGTAGAGACAGTAGGAAGCTACTATCTCTATCTTAGTTTGGGGGAAGGAGAGAAAAAATTACAGACTTCTTTGATTTTCTTTTGTATGATAGGGACAGTGGATTTTGTCTTCTTCCCAACCCTTGTCTTTCAGATCCTGTAGCATATGGCTATAAACATATTACATCATCCAGCTCTCCTGTTGCACATTGTTTATGTCATAAGAAGGAGGTTCACGGGTTGTTTCTAATTAGTTATAAAGTATAATGCTTGAAGTATTCATCTTAGCTATGGTGCATCAATGTCCTTCCCACCTACAGGCCTGGATTTAGGTCTATTCTCAATCTTCTGAGATTTCTGCTTTTATCACCATCTCTCTGGACTGATCTGAAGGTTTCATTGGAAATATTTATAAATTCAGCTACCATTTTCCTATTTTCCCCTCAGCTGGAATAGGCACCATCTTCTCATTATTAGTATTAGTGGTAAGTCTATTGATTGTTTTAGCTGATGAGGATCTTGAAACATTACACTTGTGGGGTGGGTGTTCTAACATAAACTTTGTACTCCACTAGATTTTGAGACTCTTGAGGGTAGGAACCCAGTGAACATAGTCATAACTATCATTTATTATGCACCTACTATGTACTAGTGACTTCGATTTAATTATTTCAATTAATTCCCATAAAAATAATGTACACATAAGGAATCATTTCAGATAGCTTAAGTAAACTGCCCAAGGTCGTCTAGTTCGTGAGTAAGAGTTGGATTTTGAACTCAGTTTGATCTTAAATCCTCTTTTCTAAATCATCTTTCCAAACTCCTTCTTAAAGAAAAGGAGAGATATAGATAAGAGGGATGGGATTTTGGTCTGTTGAAGGTTGGATGGAACTGGTATGGAGTTTCATTCTTAAAGAAAAGGAGAGAAGATCTGCAGATCTTCAGAGCCCTTGCTTTTCCTACTAATCTACACTGACTTGCATCACTGGTGTACATTGACATTTAGTAAATGGACCCTACAACCCTCAAGGCAGAAGTCACCCCTTCGGAAGGCTTTGGCCCATGTGCAGGTCTTCACTTTGTGCTTTTTATTCATGTCAGAGAGGCTCAGATTATGTGAGGATGTCTCAGAATCAGGCAAACTCTGAAGAAGATTGGAGTGAATCTGTGGTGATAGTCCATGGTGAGGAGTCAGGTCTGTATTGAAGTCAGCCTTGGCTTTCTGAAGATCAGGGGATACTCTGCAGTCAGCCTCTATGCTTACAGTTCAGACCACCAGAATGTGCCCACTGGATTTGGCAAGCAGTAGGAAGTATATAAATCTTTATGAAGTTGAAGCTTTGTTGAATGTGCCCAGAGAACATTTTCCATTTAATGTATTTGGAAACTATAAATATAATTCCCGCTGGGGAGTAAAAGTAATTGCTTCAGAAAAGAAAAAAGTCAGTTCTTTAAATGGCTTAACTCCTTTCACAAACATTTGCTTTTTTTAATGACTGGGAAATTCCTGGTACAGGAAAGTAAAATGTCCTTTGGTACAAAGGAGGTCATTCTGGACTGACCCTATGCACTCTAGTTCCTGTTTTCTGTTCCATATTTTGTCACCAGAGGTTATTGGAAGGATAATCCCTCTGTGGATTTTCACTGCTTTTAGGGCATGTTGCCAAAGAGAAAGTTATCTTGGCTCAGAAACTGCCAAAGCAGTTCAGAAGGCTCAGATCCCAGGGGTACTGAGCCAGTGACTGATAATGACTTGATTTAGGTTGGCCATGGGTTGGATTTTTAAAGCACACTTTTTATGTGTGCTAGGTTTGCTGTGTCTGCTTCACCCTCTTCAGATTTTTCAACAGACTCATTGCTTCTTCGGTCAGGAATGATTTTCCTTTCCTAGGCATGCTATTCTACTTTGATTCTATTCTTATGAACAGAAACATCTGTACCAGTTTGAGGCCTCATGTTCATCTTTTTAACCCAGTATAAAGGAAAAACAGCTGTTGAAAGAAGTTGCCCTGTATCTCTTTCTTTGAACACTGGAGGCTGATTTCTCCTAAAATTAATTTCTGAAATGGCTTGGCTAAAGTGAAGAATATATCTAAGCTCTTAGATTTGCTCAGTGAAGATGTTCTCCTAAATGGTAGCGTAGAATAGTTCTCAGTGGATGCCCTTGATTTAATTGAAGCTCAGTTTCCTCACGCTTTAAAATAGCCATTTCCAACCAAGGAGGATGTTGAAAGTATTAGGTAGGGAGATTTTTACATCTATCCTGGACATTTTTCATAGAGAGGTAAACATGGAAGAGGTTCAAGTGAACCCTGACAACAATCTCTGTAGTCTCCTTTAAATTACATATCTTTAAGACAATCTCTTTGAAGGATTAGGGATGGGAAATAAACTGATTTATTAACTGCTTCTTAGGTAGAAGCATTGTGCTAGATGCTTTCTGCAGATAAGCTTTTTAGATTTATATAGGTTTGTGTGGTTAATTAGTGACAGCCCACAAGATTACCAAACTACCGTGCTGCTCTCACATCTTGAAGGGTCTGTGTCAGAGTCATTATAACCCCCCAAAATTCATCCATGGCTATAATAGATCAATGTTTTGATAAGCTTTTTTTTTCTTGCTTGATTAGAAGTTTTTATTATTTAAAAAATTCAGGGCTTCCCTGGTGGTGCAGTGGTTGAGAGTCTGCCTGCCGATGCAGGAGACACGGGTTTGTGCCCCGGTCCGGGAAGATCCCACATGCTGTGGAGCAGCTGGGCCCGTGAGCCATGGCCGCTGAGCCTGCGCATCCGGAGCCTGTGCTCCGCAACGGGAGAGGCCACAACAGTGAGAGGCCTGCGTACCGCAAAAAAAAAAAAAAATCACACCCTTGCCACTGAGAATTTGGTTCTTATTATAATTTGTTAATAAAATCTGTGTTTTAAGATCTTTGAGTCACTTTCATGCCTCCCTAGGTCTGAGACTCCAAGATGAGGCTCTGTTGCATAAATAAGTCTAGAATAATTCTTGCTCTGGGATTAAGAAACTCTGTCTTTAGCTGTCATGGAGAGGAGAGGATTATAAAATTCAGTCATGAGCTGCTTAGGTATTTTCTGCAGATCCCATTTGTTGCCCCAAACACTGTGGCCCCTCTGGGACACTCTAGAACCCTTGCTTGAAATCTCTTGAGGAAGTCAGGCTTGACTTGGGCATTACTCATCTTGTTTAGTACACCCCTCTCCACTGCCCCCAATGTCTAGGTTTATTGTGGGCAGCCAATGAGTATTTTGTTGAACTTAATAGCTAGTACAAAAGCATTGGGGAAAATATGGCTAGGAAATGCTGTCATATTTGAAATTGGGAAATTCTGGTAATTGCTGAGTGCCTCATATTATTAGTTCTTGTGGGGAAAATACATGGCAGAATTCATGATGGGTTTATATTGTAAAATGAAAACTCTTATGAGATGAATCAGATGCTACATATCTGCTTATGATACTCAGAATGGGAATGACACTGATTTGCTGATAATGTATTATTATTATTATTCTGTAGCCCCAGATGATACAGCAAACTCTCAAGAGGACATTGCAGTATTATGAGCACCAATTTACTGGGTAAGTAAAAATGGATTTTGGCTATTATTGGGGACAAATTAAAGATAATTACTACATAGAGAACAGACCTGTGGTTGCCAAGTGGTGGGGGAAAGGGTTGGGGGAGGGATGGAGTGGGAGGTTGGGGTTAACAGATGTAAGCTATTATATATAGAATGGATAAACAGCAAGGTCCTACTGTATAGCACAGGGAACTATAGTCAATATCCTATGATAAACCATAATGGAAAAGAATATATATAAAAAGAATGTAGATATGTATAACTGAATCAATTTGCTGTACAACAAAAGTTAACACAACATTGTAAATCAACTATACTCCAATTTTAAAAAATGAGTTACTCAAACATAGCTGTTGAACACGTGGGCAACCAAGTCAAGCTTATTGCATAATGATTATGATCTCAGTGTGAAGTGGGAGCTCATAGGAGCCCCATGGAGTGATTTCCTTTAGTTTATTTGTGTTGAATCCTTTTAAGTAAAATCCCTTTTGCTAGTGCTTTCCTTTTTCTTCCTTCTTGTGCTCTTACCCTCTCATTCTCATCCACTGAATCTCATATTTTGCCTTAGTAATATCATAAGGTTTATTAGTACCAACCAAGAGGCTTTAAATGTGATTTTAGGATCCTTCAGTAAAGTTTAATCAAATTCACTACAAGCTTAACACAGTTCAGTGAGAAGTGTTTGTTTAGTTAAAGTCACATGCTACATATTTCCTTTATTTATCCCCCATTTCCTCAAATGGTTGTGGTATGATGTAAAGTAAGAAGATTTGAGGTCAAAAGACAGGAATTCAAGGCCTCACCAGGACATAGAACTTTAAAGTAACTTTATCTCTTTTAAAGGGTGATGATGATGGTAACAACTAAATCAAGGATTATATGTCATTATTAAATGAGGTAATTTTAATGGAAGTAAACAGGAAGCTCCAAATAAGTGTAAGGTATATCCTTGATTGGGTACGGCAGAAAGCAGTTGGCAAATACAAAAGCCTAAATTCACTTTCTGATGCAGTCTAGCTATTTAAATTAAATGTACAATATACTACAGCTATTTATCTTTGTAGAAGTTTAAGAACTTATGAGGAGTCAAGTTTCAAACCCTGGTACCTCTTGAAAAGCTATGGGGAATCATTTAACATTTATGGGTAATAGTCATTACCATGGAGATCAAGAACATATTTTTGGCTATTAGGATATAGTGTGAATTTTTTTTTTTTATAAAACAAAAGGGAGGAAAACTTAGTGGAAAAATAATCTCAGTACCAAGTAGAATGCCATATACTTTAAGTGCTTGATGACTATGTTAACTGTCATTTCAAAGGGAATTGCCCTGAAACTTTGTCATATCAATCCTCAAGAGTACAGTGCTAGAAAAAACATATTATTTAAACTCATGAGATGGTTTTTAATTTGAGGCTATTTGTAGTTTTAAATGGTTTATTTTAAGGGAGATAAATAATGTCAAGTTAATCTCTTCCCACATACTCTAAAATAAAACTTAATCACTCATTGGATTTGCTGCTTTCAAATATGGTGTTTGGATTAAACTAGTCAATGTATTTAGAACAATTCCTGATATGTGGTAAGCACCACATGCTTGTTTACTCATATTCATTATCATCATTATTTTTAAGATTTTAATGACAATACCAGTAATGAAATGCAAATTATTTCTGGAATTATGAGTGCCCTCTCCGTTTTGAAATCAAATAATGACTGATGAAATAGTCTTATTTGTGAACTAAATTATGTCTTCATGGCAAGTCAGAGTGGGAATCTTATAAATATGATCAAACTAGATAACTAAACTGTATTACTATAATCAGCAGAAAATTGTTTTTTCCATTAGTAGGATGGAGTTCTCTTTCATCTAAATAACTGCCTCAACTCTCCTCTCAATCTCTGTAGACATAGCCTGTGGTATTTCTTTGTTCATTGCCTAAATAGTCTTTCCCTAGTTCTGTTTATTGCAGACACTATTTAAAGAACAGACAGGGTATAGGACTTTCATATAAAGAGGTGTCTTAATGTCCTACTGGTTCTAAGACCTAGTAGCATATTTTTGCTTGGGTGTTGGCTACCTTCTGAGGGTTTGAAGTGCCTTTGCTCACTGTCTTTTTCTGTGCTCATGCTGATGAAGATAAAAAGGGCCATGGTTTCCCTGTCCAGTGTCCTCTTTGCCTTTTTAGAGTCCATCTTTCTGCTTTCAATTTCTTTTTTCAATACTGAAAAAGGAGAGCATCTATGATTGCTAACACTTGGATTAAAATGTATTCACTCATATGTGTTGTTCCTCTTAAGAAAACACAATGTTATCTCTAACTGTGAAAAGGAATGTGTTTCTTACAGTTAAAGGGATTTCAGGCAATTGCAAGCAAGTGCTGGAAAGTTTATTTTACATGTTTCTGGGGAGGTGAGGGTGGGAAAGAGGTGCTTTTCCTAATCCCTGAAATTGGGCTTTGCCTAAAGCTTGTCTTGAAATAATTCAGCTTTTAGGTGTCTAGGGTTGGATGATGAATCAGAATGGGTAACAGAGAGTAGGAGCTAGCCTTTTTCTTTTTAATTTCATAATTCAGCCTCCAACTGCTAACCTTCCCATCTTCCCTTTCCTCTGTTTTGGTACTCTGCCTTTGGATCTGCATTATTTATCAGAGCTCCAGGATTATATAGTCTTGCGCCTTAATTAATTTTTATACCAGTGGCCCATAGAAACTCTCTGAGGCTTTTTTTAGTCTCCAAGACCTAGACTTGAATGAAGTGAGCAGCTGTTGAAAGGATCAGACAGATGGAGGATTGGGAGGGAGTAGCCGATGGAGCCTCTTGTTAGGAAGTAAGATAGCCTCTCTGTACTTCAGCAACTTTATCTTTAAACATTTATTCTGTTCCTTAACTTATCCATTCACTTGTCCATTTATTTATTCATAGAGATCATTCAAGCTGGGAAAATAAGTGCTTAAATAATTTATTCGTGAGGTATGATAAATCTTCATCTCTTCATCTCCACTGTCACCATGGTCTCTCAGATAGAGATTCCAATCTAGTTTTCTGGCTTCTACTCCTGTAGTTTCTGATCATGTATGTCTGGGTGGGGCTCAAGAATTGGCATTTCTAAGGAGTTCCCAGATACTGCTGATTCTACTGGTCCAGGGATCATGCTTTGAAATCCCTGTTTAAAACCATATAATAAGTTACTGTAATAGAATAAAATCTGAGCTATTCCTGTGATCTGGCCTCTGCTTACCTCTCTGATTTCATCCTCTTCCACTCCCCACTTTTCACTCCACTCCAGCCACTCCAGCCTTCTGTTGGTTTCTCAACTATACCAAAGCTTGCTTAGCCTCAAGGCTTTTGCACATACTATTTCATATACCTGGAATGCTCTGTCCCCAGATGTTTGCATGGATTATTCTTTTATACAGTTAAGTCTTTGTTAAAATGTCATATCCTCAGGAAGGTATGACACCCACCTAAAGTAATCTTCAATCCCCTACCTCAATCTCCAACCACAGTGATTTTCTGCTACATTAGTCTCTATTATCTCTCTTCATAGTACTTATCATTAGCTTATATTATCTTGTTTATTTTCTTATTTGGTTATCTTATTTACTCTTACATTATTGTGTCTTTGTAAATGCTTGGTACATAGGAGGAACTAACAGTTTTTTTGGGGGAGGGAGGAGTGCGAATAAATGAATACATTGTACCCTAGAGGTATGTACACAGAGGTATGTATATAGTGGATAAAAGAGTAAATTATGCTTCGGAAGGGGGTGTAAAATGAGTAATCCCTAGGGTCCATTATAGTTCTAAAATCTATAGTTCTAGTATCCAAAATCCTTCTTTTTATGGCATAAATTATACTCATTTATTTGCATAATTTTCCATTTATGCTTAATGTTCTGCTACAATGTGTCAGATTGACTTTGTGGTAAATTTTGATTGCTGTGTAAACTCTGCATATGCAGTCTTCTTCCCTCAATCTAAAATGAGAAAAGAGGGCCCTGACTGTTCATCTTTATGTTAGCCTTTCTTTAACTCAAGCTTCTAGGGAATGGACTAGCTTTTGGGGCAGTGTGGGGTGGGAAGAATAGTGAGAAGCAAAAGTGGTAAGTAGGAGGCAGGCAGTGTTTACCTTAGGAATCAAAAGGAACTCAGGATTGAGGAAAATCTGGTTTATGGTGACAATTTTTTCTGATGTCATTCTTGTCATTATCTTGTGCCCTTCTCTCTGTGCACTTTTATTGTGTAGTATAGAGCAAGGGACTGCGAAAATGTGCTTGGAAGTAGACATACCAGATTTACTAGATTTAAAGTCAGGTTGTACCTTTGAATGATCATGGGCAGATTACTTAACCTCCTGAGTCTCAGTTTTCTCATTTTTAAACATGGGAATAATAGCACGGTAGGGGTGATGTTTAAATGAAATATTAATGATAATAATGTGGTAAGTCATATAATCAGCTTGGTATACATAGGTAATCAGTATGTTTGTTGAATTATAATTACCACTATTGTATCTGACTCTTTTGCACCTTAATTTTTGTTGATTGTCTTTCCCTTTCTCCTCTTGCTGTATCCTTTACCTGTCCTCCTTGAGCCTTTAAAACTCTGCAGTCGGGCTTCCCTGGTGGCGCAGTGGTTGAGAGTCCGCCTGCCGATGCAGGGGACACGAGTTCGTGCCCCGGTCTGGGAAGATCCCACATGCCGCGGAGCGGCTGGGCCCGTGAGCCATGGCCGCTGAGCCTGCGCGTCTGGAGCCTGTGCTCCGCAACGGGAGAGGCCACAACAGTGAGAGGCCTGTGTACCGCAAAAAAAAAAAAAAGAAAAGAAAAAACTCTGCAATCATTTGTTTAGCATCAGGAGTTAAATATGCCCAGTTCATGTTCCAGCTACAGCTTTCTTCTTACAGAGAATTTGGATTTTTTAAAATCTAAATTTCTTCCTCCAGAGTGCCTAATCTAACTGCTCTCACTCATGTTTATACTACACCACTCCTACTGGTCTTTAGCTCACAAAAACGGATTGCTATGGTAGGGAAGACAAAGCAGAGGTTTCTTTAAAACTATGATGAGAAAATAACATGATCATCTTTCTGAGATGTAATTTTAATTCATTATATATTTTAAACATCAAAGTATAGAAAAATATGTATTCAGTATCATGCCATTCATTTTATACTTTTTGCCAGAATGAGCATCGTTGTGCTAATATCGCAGGTAGGACTGCTGCCAAACTCATATTGGTCTGGGACACCGTTTCCTATAGTCATCTAAAGGTATATTATTACTCCATTTATCACTGTGGGCTCTGTGTTTGTTTTATACAGCCAACCTCTGTTCTCTTTTTATTTTGACAGCTGAATAAGGATTAAGCTAGAATAATTTCAATAGAACGTTAGAAGTGAAATTAGGAGTGGGTTAACCCTGCTTATTCTGGGAAACAGGCTTCAGTGATATTACTTATGCTGTCGTGGTCAGATTTTGTGGCTGTAAATTATTTTGTCTAAAAAGTGATGTAGCTTTTTTTGGATATATTTACATATAATATCTATCTTACTGAATAAAAACAAGTTAGATAAAATCTAATAGCTATTGATTGCTCTCTGTTTTTGAGGTAATATACTGGGCACTTCATATCTGTTATTTTATTTAATACTAACAATCTATTTCATAGGATCACTGTATTAAGCTAATTTTTACAGATGAGGAGATTGAGACTGTGAGAAAGAATATTTTGTTTAAGGTCACTCTGATTAAAATGGTGGAGCTTGATTTAAAAATAAACCTGTACTTGTCTGTGTTTAATGACTGTGCTCCCCATTCCACCTTTTACTGAGTGATTCCTGCATTCTAGAAACTGTAGTAAGCATTTTGCTTAACTGGTTTATTGGAGTCTAATCTTACAAACATGAAACCCTTTTACTTTTTTCTCCCCAGTCATTTCAAACATGCTATGATGAGCCCTCTTTGATACTAGGTTGGGCAGATTGCACTGTATTCCAAGTACTTTCAGGGAGTATAAAGTCCACTCCAGACCAATTCAAATCTTCAATCTCATATCCAATCTTATTCACTGTCCCTCTCTGCCTGGGTTACACCTTGGCCTGAGGAGCTTGGAATGCAATGTAGTGGTGGTATCATTTATTATTGACTCCTCTTCTTTAGGCCAGTCCTTTCTGATTACTTTCTCTTCTGATGTGTTATATCAGGCATGAATAAAATGGGAAATAGTAGAAGCCTCGTTTACTTCACTGGTGGTTGTAATAATCCTCTCTTGGCTGTGATGCCCTCAGCAAGGTGCATGTACAGGCTCTGCTTTTACTGCTTCAGATGCCTCAGCTTCTGGCTCTGTGAATTTCACTCCACAGTTTTGCTAGTGTAATCCCTGCCCCTGGCTGCAGCCTCTAGATAGGGAAAGCAATAGGATGGGACACCCCCAGCTCACCTTTCTTTAGTGATATCTCCATATCACTAAATATGAATTTTCCCATGGGAAACCCATAGTTTTTGCCTTGCCAAATAGTAGGACTGTAGGCCAGTTCCAATTTGGCTTTATTTATTTTCCCTGTTAATAACACTCCCTGGAATCTTCTTCCATTCAGTCAGGTATAGAGGGATGATCAGGAATTCCACCACCTCAGCAGATATTCATGGAGGAATGAGATACCTAAGCCTCAGTCTCTATCAGACTAGATCCCTCTTTCACCAACTGGTCCTCTGTAGGGAATATTCCCCTTCTCTCTTTTACTTGTGTTTGTATGTGTGTGTGGGTGGGGGGAGATAACAACAGTGCTCTCCTCCTAGGCCAATAACTCATTCTTCTTATTATTTTCTTTCAAAATTTTCCTGTTCCTTGGCTTATGTATGCTGGTGGTGAGGTGACAATGGCAGTGACTATTTAGTCATTTCTTAAGTTCTGAAGGCGATGTCTGGTCTTCTTGGCTACTCTTTTGAAACATGGAAGCATTTGACCTTTATTTTCTGCAGCTTTGGTGCCTTAGCTCTAATTCAGAGGAAACTGGAAAAGTTTCAGTCAACACAGGCATTTTATCTTTAAGTCCTCGTAAGAACTCTAGGAGGTATCTCCATTTCATGAGGGAGGAAGGTTAGACTAACAGAGATTAGATTACTTGACCAAAGTCTCACAGATACAAAAAGGTAAGACCATGATTCAAATTCTGTCAGACACCAAATGCTTTATTTGCTTATTTGTTATCCATGCTAATTTCTTGACTGTAATAGAAGTTAAGATGTGTTTACTTTCAACACAGTTAGTGCTAACGCACCGAATTAGCACCGTTAATTATTCTTTTTCTAGGCAAATTCATTATAGAAACAAATTACCAGTAGTTATGAAGCACTCAAGTAAAGAAACATTAGCTATACAAACTGATGTATTTTCTGGTTCTTATCATTTATTTTTTTCACACATTGCTTTCTTGTTAATGATTGCTTCCAGTTCCAGGTCCACATTGCTTATTCTGATGTTAGTGATGGGTTATGCCAGAAATTATGTCTTAAAGCTTCAGTTGTTTGAAAATGTCATTATGCTAAGAGCATAAACACATGCTTTTGTGTATGTATATGAGTGCATTTGCAGAGTCTTTTAAAAACTTCTCCATATACTAATTTTGTTTTCTTCTTAGTTATAGGGATGTAGAAAAGAATTTCTACAATATTTCTAACAGATGCTCCTATGCAGACCATTCCAACAAAGAAGACATTGAAGATGTCTCAGGAATTCTTCAGTGTACTGCTAACGTACTCGGTATAGTAACTATATATTTATAAGGTTGAGAGAGAATGAGTAAGGGGAAGGGGGAAAAGTAAAAAAGAGTAAATGTTTCATTTTCTACCAGAGAGAGATTTGGAGACTATGGTGAATTGAGACCAAGACCTTGTCTTCAAGTGACTTAGTTTCAATACTTCTGATGATGTTTAAATGGAAATTACATGCATGCCATTTAGTTGGAGATTGGAAAACATTACATTCCAGGCAAACTTTTCTAAATATTCATATCTGAGTATTATTAGTCTCCTGTAATCCATATTTCTCTGGCTCTTACTGTCAGTTAAAATTGGGGATCTTCCTCTTTTCTCAAAGTCCATGCTTTATTATTATTTATTCTACTATTTCTGGAATGCCTGGTTGGGGCTGGAGGGTGGCTCACATGTACTCATAGTGGACTCTACAAAGGCAGTGAGGTAGGTCATCTATGGAAGTCTCTGCACCCTGTTTATAGGGGGGTGTCTACCTTGAAAATACTAGTATTTCTGGCAAAGGGCTGTTTTTAGATGTTCCCAACATGGTAAGGGATACTGTTATAAACTGCACTGAATCATGCAGCTATAAAGTACCATAAATGAGATGTCCTATCTTATGATCTGAAGTTCTTGGTGTGTGAGAGGTACATTGTATTATACACAAAGTAGATACCATACCAGGAATATTTTTTGCTCTATTGTCTTACATAGTTTTTTGGGAAAGATACCTCTTTCAATTTTTTTGGAATCTTCTTTTTGCCTCAGAACTCAGACAGAAATCCATGGAGTTCTGGGGAGTGGTGGCAGGGGAACAGCAAATCTTAGTCACTGACTCCATACAAAACTCAGAATTACCTCTCTCAGAATCAGATTTTGGAGACTAGGAAAAACTTGTTCCCCTTTCTTTCCCTTTAGGGTAAGTACTTTCCCTGGAGACACCTGAGTCCCTCCTATAAACAGATTCCAGGTGACCTCAATGCATGAGTTTACTGGATTTTTCTAAACATATCTGACTCCCAGAGGCAGACCTGGCTTTAACACTCAAGCTGGAACTCCAGCTAGACATTGACTACATTTTCTTCCTAGGTAACGTTTTTAAGCATAAAATATTATAATAAGAACATGGACCTTTTGTGAAGGGAGGCATATAGATGTAAGTGGTTTGTCTAAGACAATAATGGGCAGTGAAAAGATGTACTTACCTCAATCTTAGTACAACTGCATGGATGTCATACTACACAAGTCAACATTATTGGAGAAGATAAGGGGTGAGAGTAAAGGTGGGGTGGGGTTGGGCATTACCCAAGAACTGTTTATAGTTTTCTGATTTTGTATTTCCCAGGACTCTCTCATAAGTGATATCTATTTCTTTTGACGCATTGTGATTTTTGAAAGGGTGAGGTGAGATGATGTTCCACTAAGACGGATGTATCAGAATCTTGGCCAAGGGATTTTTAATATATTGAAAAACTTCTCTTTAATTACTAATTTTCTAAATGATTCCCTGCCCCTCACATCTCCTTTCCTTTCCTTTCCTTATGCTGCCTACTTTGAGAATCGCTGAGTTAGAGGGAGTAAGAGGTGTACAAGATGATGAATATGTAAGAAGTACTAAAGACTTTTTCTGAACTGTGACTTGAGAATAAGTGTACACAATTCCTACAAGAAACTCTAGGTCAGACAATTTTATATAGTAAACACCAGGTGATACTGTTGGCCCAGCATAGCTTAGTTGATAGATTAAGTTAGTGAGTAAAAAGAACAGCAGGCAGTATGCTACCTGATGGTATTAGGGAAAGAGTAGTTTTTAAATAAGTACTTATAATTTAGAAGGGGACTGTATAACAGGGTTTAGATTTCCATAAATATTAAATTTTTCTGGAAAACAGATATTAGGTCTAATTTTTTTCCCTGTAAATGATGATGGGTTGTTCTCAAAATGTAAAAAGCACAATCTTGTAAATGACTGCCTCCTGTTCACAAGACGCTGGCATGTATCCAACAGGTGATTATGTGCCTAGGACGTAGCTGTTCTCTTAATTTATGTCCTATCATAATTCTTGAAATATAGACTGAGGACAAAGAGGACAGCTTTACTAGTCATATTCAATGTAAGCTTTATTTCTATTTTTAACAAGTCACTGAAGTATGATTAATCTTGGTTTGCTTAGATCTCACCTTTTACAAAGAATTACATTTAAAGTCTTCTGTGCAATCATTTATGCAAATACAAAAATTGATTAACTCTGAAAAGAAAAACACCGTAAAGAAAGAGGACCTGTTCTGAGTTGGGGAGTTTAGCATGGAGAAATAGAGTTTCAACAAGTTTAAGGAAAATGTTGATGCCTGGAAGCCCTGTCTGTGGATGCCAGAGGGCAGTTTTCCAACTCTATGATTTATATTTACCAGCTTTGGGTGGTGTGGTTAGAATATTGGTGGATTGGATTTGAGGGATACATATTTCTCTCACCTTCTTAACATATTACAAGGTTATAGTAAAGACTAGAATTGTGTTTGTTCACTCATCCGAATGTTATTTATATTTCACCTATCATCAAAAAATATTTAAAGTCATAGGTCAGAAAATATGATCAGAGTAACAAATTTTTCTCCTTTCAAAATGACCATCTCTACTTAGTATAAACTCTAGATAGTTTGATCGTTTACCAGCTCTGCAGGTTGAAGTTTGAGTTAAGTGGTTGGCATGGAATAAAAAGAGAAACCTGAAGAGAAGGAGAAAGCTTGTTGCAGAAGACCAGTCATGCTTCTGTCATGCATTTGTTCCATTGTCTCTTCCTTAGGACTCCCTGGAAACATGTGCACATTACAGAGTGGTTTATGCCCTCTGTAGTAATGGTAAAGAACTATTTCTAGACATCAACATTTTTGTCATTGATTTTCTTTTGTTGGCTTAGAAACCAGTTGTTATATTGTCTCATTATTTACAAATTAGGGATATTAAGTACAGATTATTCCTTATTTTGGTGCTCTGGCATTCACTGTGATAATGCAGTACAGTACTCTAAGGAGGTTTTTAAACTCTGGAAAAAAGGATATACAAAGAGAGATAGTTGTGAACAATGCCCTCCCTACTGGAGGCTTTTAGTGTTAAACGTACTGCTTTATTTAGTACATCTTGTGCATACCAAAATGATCTTCTAATTTTAGTTGTTTGAAAAATGTAAGCCTTTTCCAGGCATAATCTGCAAAGCTCATTTTTAGCTCCAATTAAGTAAAAATATGTGTTTATAGTCTTATGAGGTACAACATTGAGTATTTTCTTGGAAATTGTAACAGTTGATTGGTACAATGAAGCATCTATGCTAAAACATTAAAGGGTGTATACTGTGTTTTCTGCTGAAGTGTTGCCACCTGATCCTGTATCTTGGATTTAGGTAATGTTGGGGAAAGGAAGACAGAATTGAATAGGGAGACTTAAGGGAGAAGGATGATATATTGCTTAGCTCCCTTTGCGTAATACAATTTAAAATAAATGAGGATTATGACGATTTCAGTTTTAACAGGTTTTGATACTGTTAAAGGGGTTGTGGGTGTTTCATCAAAAGCCATAAGATATAGATGGTGTAGGATAAAATCATTCCACAGTAGGAGAGAAATCATATAGAAATGAGAGATCTAAGGTAATTCATCTACTGATGAATTATAGCAAACAGAGGTTTACTATTTTAATAAGCGTCAGTTATTTACTAAGTATTAACAAAGTATAGTTTTATACTGCCTTGGCTAAAGTGCATTTTGTCTCAAAATAATTGGTGAAGGACATGAATTGTGAAAAAATCTTCATTAAAGTTTTTTTCTGTTTTAAAGGTCTTCTGTTAGAGTGGGGCTTTATTGTCTCCAAAAAGTCAGCATTTAAAGTCAGTGTCAGAGTAATGTTTTCATAGGATTATTTGTTGGGAAAATGCTAGTGAGGAGAATGGAGTGGATGACCTTTGGTGCATATACCTCACAATATTTTTGTGAAATACTGTGAAACCTGAGCTCCCTATAAAGTGCCACTGATTCCAGAATCATTAGCTGGTATGGAACTTTTTGTTGCCACTTGTTTTTATATAAGCAATAGTTTATTGCTTACATGTTGACTTGTATGTACTTTTCTGCTTTTATTGTGATTTTGAATGTGCACTTGACAGCCTTGTAATTGGCCATAAAACTGTGAAGAGTTAGTTAGCCTTACTTTAGGGTTAAGGTTACCTGAGGGTTTCCTTAGAATAACTCTAAAACATGTAATTTTTTAGTGAATTAGAATATATTTAACATATTTAGCATATTGGAGAACTAGTTGGTACAAAAACCACTTATTTTTATAGATGAATTAATATTGATAGCAATAAATAAATTCTGCCAATATAGTTCTTTTTTGGGGGAGACAAATGGTGTTTTATTTATGTTTTTATTGAAGTATAGTTGAGTTACAATGTTGTGTTAATTACTGCTGTACAGCAAAGTGATTCAGTTATACATATACATATATTCTTTTTTTAACATTCTTTTCCATTATGGTTTATCATAGGATATTGAACATAGTTCAATATAGTTCTTATTACTGTAACTTGGTAACGGATCAGTTTTCTCTTTCATTAAAAGTAAATTAAAAGTAAATAGTGTCAGTGTTTTAATGAGATGAATTGGAGTTAGGGTGGCTGGAAGGGAACTGATTTATTAACTGATTTAATAATGATATTATAATGTAGTAATTTAGAGCAAAAACTAGAGCCAGATTACTTAGTTATGAAAACATACTTACTCACTGTATGAACTGGAATAAGTTACTTAATCTTTCCATACTAGATATTTCTCATTTGTAAAATGGGGATAATATAATTACATACCTTCTAGAGTTGTTAGGAAGATTAAATAAGTTAATTTATATAAAGTATTTACAGCAGCCTGATAAATAACAAATGCTGAAGTGTTTGCTCCTATTATTGAATATTCACAAAATAATGTTTGCATCAGAACTGGGAGGTCAATATTCTCCCT